TCCAATAAACCACCCAAAAGCCCTTTCCCCGGACATTCCCCGACACCCCACGAACCCCCGCACCAGCAACAAAACCACTGGGATCAAGGCAGCAGCAGTTCTTATTCACAACATGTCCCAAACTATCCCTCAACTTCATAAAATCACCCCTTCACATCCACCACCATGTCCAAACGCATCATCATCACCGGTGGCTCTGGTAAAGCCGGCCAATTCATCATTGCCCACCTCCTCGCCCAAAACTACGACATCCTCAACCTGGACCTGAACCCACTCCCCGCCCCCCTCAGTAACAAAGTCCATACCCTCAAAGTTGACCTCACCGACAACGGTCAAGTCCATGGCGCCCTGCACTCCCATTTCCATCTCACCGAACCCTTCCGAGAACCCCTGCGCCAGGTCCCCGATGCCGTCATTCATCTAGCCGGGTATGCGCGGAACATGATCGTCCCTGATAACGAGACCTTCCGAGGCAATACGCTCTCCACCTATAATGTGCTGGAAGCTGCATGTCAAATTGGCGTGCCGAAGATCATAACTGCCAGTTCACTGTGCGCGTACGGGGTTGCTTTTGCAGAAGGAGATGTCGATTATCCTTCGTTCCCGGTTGACGAGGAGGTAGATACGAACCCGATGGACGTGTATGGTCTAACAAAAGTAATTGGGGAACGTACAGCACGGAGCTTTGCTCGGCGGTTCGGGACCGATATCTATGTCATGCGACTGGGCGCTATCATTGCGCCGGAGGAAATGCGAAGTCGGTTTGAGGAGTACGTGCATTCGCCGGAGCAGTATAAAGTGCATGGATGGGCGTACACGGATGCCAGAGATATTGGGTTGATGTTTGAACGGGGCATTGTTACTGATGGATTAGGGTTCCAGGTCTTTAATGCGGTGAATGATGAGATTACGAATACTGCGAGCACGACGGAGTTCTTGCAGAATATGTGCCCCAATGTTCCGATTACCAGGAAGATGGGGGAGAAGGAGGCCCCAGTGACGAACAGAAAGATGAAGGAGATGTTGGGCTTTGAGCAGAGACACCGGTGGCAGGATGATTGTCTTCAGAAGTGAAGGGTGGGACGGCAGTGCAGAATAAGGGTATCCGATGGGGAATTAGGTCATAGACATAGATATCTGCCTCATAATGACCATCGCAGTGGCTTAACGCGGTCCTCCGGGTGGACAAGATATCATAGCATATGTCTGCATAATTATGATCTTACCTCGAGCCCTTCATTTCAGGTGCATAAATGTGACCCTGTCAGGCCCACTAGCAGCTCGGAGTTAACAATCAGGCCACGCAGCAAATAATATGTGTGTAGCTGAGACAGTCCGAGGCACTTTGATTAACGGTAAACCTAAAGCGGAAATCACTAAAATAGCCGCGGCTCAAGGCCCTCTTTTTGGCGGTTGAACCCGATATTGCCGAAAAGAGAGGATGGCAGTGCATCGATGCCAACGAGATTTTCATGAGCTAAAAAAACTATGCCGGGAAATTGGATGTACAGATGTCGACTACAATCCTCTATATTCCTATCTCATCGCTTTATCATGATATGGCATATCTTGAAAGGACATCCCAATTGGGTTACCGGAGGACCCGTGGCCGACACCGATGACTAAGCGGCAGGACCGAGCCGGATGTCTCGGTGGCGCGTCGAACCTCAAAAGGGATTGTCATGTTCTGCTGTGCGGATATGCGCGCAGCCCCATTGACATCCCATTGCTCGGTTTAGCTCTTGCTTAGGCGGTCCCATAGCACCTGCTGTCATTTTTGCTGATTGGTCCCCACTCGCGCTTTTGTCCCTGGGACTCCCATGGATCGACATTGTAACATGCAGGCGCGCGTGCCGGAGTCCAGCCCTACCCCCGAGGGGGATCGGTATGTGCCCCTTCGGCGTACTGCTCGGGCCTGTGACTCGTGCCATCGGAGAAAAGTAGGTTGCGCTTCGGGTGTCCACTTTCAGTCCAATTTGCAATAGTCTATTAACCTTTCCCGCGGGTCAGATCCAATGTGATACATCTGTCCCCTGTAATTGGTGCCGCCACCATAACCTGGATTGTACCTTTGATAGGCCTGTTGGCGGGAACAAACGAAAGAAGACCACTCAACCCGCCAATCCAAGGTGAGCTTGTATGTTTTGTTCCATGTGGCATGCCACTAACTACTCAGACCCCTGAGACGACCTCACCAGGAAGACCTGGAGGACAGGGTGCGGAAGCTTGAGGAGCTCCTCACACGGTCGATCTCGACTACGCAGCACCCAAGGAATTGTCTTTCTTTATTGGAGAAAGGCCATCTCGATACTGAACAGTCTCAGAGCTTGGCTGAATCGACGCAGCTTGCTATTCAGACGGATAATCCGGCTTCCAGTAGTGGCCTACTGTTCGGGAAGATCCACTTTGCCGGTCACTATGTGGGTGAGGTTCGGACATACAGTGGCATCCCTTGCTTCTCGCAATCCGGCCAGGAGTGGGTGCGATCCTGTACGGGGGAGCCTGGCACATTCGAGGATGTCTGGTCGCACAAATACCCAAACCAGGTCCCTCACCTGACGACTCCCCATCCGCAGAATGGTTACAACCACTCTGTCACACCGGATCTTCCAGACCGGTCGTTGGTGGAACAGTATGTGAGCCACTTCTTCACTTCTGGTGAACGCATGGTCTTTCCTGTGGTGGATGAGGTTCTTTTCCGGGATACCGTGGAGCTCGCGTATCGACCATGTCAAGGGCCTCCGCCTGTGGAATATACCCGGTCTAGAGCATGTATTCTTGCATTCCTTTCATTCATTGCCGAGCTTGATCCTTCCCCAAGTCTTCCCCCGGTCGATCCTCCGGTCTACGCTGCCAAGGCACAAAGCCTCCTCCCGTATATTCTGCACGATGTCAGTGTACCTACGTTACAGACCATGGTCATGCAGGTGAGGACTGACCCCACCCACTCACGGCCAAGCACCGATCTCATTGATTGCGATTCCAGGCTATATACCGAACATTCACTGGCGAACTACAATTAGCCAACCAATTTCACTCCATGGCATGTCGGGTCATGTTCATGCTTGGCGGAGAGACAAGCGAGACGGTAGACGCGTTCCGAGAGTCATCAAAAGATCCCCAGGACCGGACATGGCGATCTCAACGAATGCTTCGTCGCTTATTCTGGCTCTGTTATGGCTTCGACAAGGAGATATGTTTCCGGTCCGGCCAACCGCCAGTTATCCATGATGAATACTGCGATCTTACACTTCCCCCGAACTATACCGAAATCCAATACCCCAGCACGGAGGGCAATCCTATCCGCTACGACGACATGACCATACCCATCTTTCCCGGAGATCTACGACTAACGATGCTCAAGTCCAAAACCTACCGGACACTCTACTCTGCTAAAGCGCTGCGCAAGTCTGACGCCCAACTGCTACAGGACATCCGCGAGCTTGATGACGAACTTGAGCAATGGCGCCTAAATGTGCCACCAGGGCACCGTCCAACCCTCGGGACTTTCCAAGAACAGCATCCAATACCAGTTTACCGCATGCAACCAATCGTCATTCGACTGGAATATCACTATATGATGTGCACCATCCATCGCGCCAGTGGAAGATGTGACGCCTGGGGCCAACAATGGAGAAGTTGTAAGAACGGAATGATGGAGGGTGTGAATTCAAGCATGCTCCTAGCCGTGGAGGCTAGTCGGTCCTCGCTACATTTTCTTCGTACGGTCATCGGCTCAGTGCGTCCTGAGGCTTTTTGGTGCGTTGTCATATGGTTTATCATGGCCCGATCTGTTAGTACTAACATGGCACCTAGGATGATTATCTTCTACCCCATGTCTGCCATCCTCACCATATTTTGCAGCATTTTAGCGAACCCACTAGATCCGTATGTCGAAGAAGATCTACATCTACTGAAGGTGGTCCCGGACCTTGTCAGGGACGTGCGACGACGACGCACGTCGGAAGTCGAGATTGCACATATGCAAACAGTTACGAATTTCGTGGCCGAGTTGATCCGACTTGGGCACTGCGCTATTGAAAAGGCTCGTCGGAGCCAGAGGCAGCTCACCCAATCGTGATGTCCCTTTCCTCATTTTCGCGTTTGTAGATGTTCATTTTCTTGAGAGCGTTACAGTTCTCCTCTTCCTGTTGATATTGCTTACTGGAGTCATTGCTCAAGATACCCATGTATTATGACTTTAAAAAGTCACCGCCATATAGTATGGCGCATATGCGCGAGTGTATATTGAGTCAGGTTTGGATATTGGGTTGCAATGTTTATGCTAGATTTGTACATACAAGTAGAATTTTACATAACTCAATTCTGTGATTTTGTCTTCTGGTCCTGTGAACTGGTCGGTGACGAGGACTCGCTTAATCCCAATTTAGGGATAGATGTCCTCGATTTCCTTATAGCGTTCCAACATGTTTTGGACAACAGAAAGACGATTATGGGCACTATGGCATAACATTGGAGACTTGAGTCACCATTGGGTGCCTACATAGTGCTACTGATCCAGGCCATCTGTTTCTTCCAAATTCCTCATTCTTTGCCCTCGCTACCCGCTTTGTCAGCTTCACCGACACTTGGCCGAGGGATACCCACACTTGGACCCTCAGCCTTGCTGAACAGCGCACCCGGATCAACATTCGCGAGCTAATTATATGTGTCCACTGCCTCAGACATTGGGTGGGAATGGGGACTTGCACGTGTCCCTGTGTCTGTTCATGGAGACCACATTTCATCGTAAGGCCGCATTTCTACCCAACCATTATGGAACGCGAATATGGCTACCAGGCAGGCTATGCCTTCTCCTGTCGATCTACGCCTCTTTGTAGGTTATAATGTCCGATTCAGTACGTGCGACCGGGGTTTTTGGGTGACTTTAGCACTATAACTCAGGGACAAGTAGTCACGTGCCTATAATATTTCTGTTATGCTGTAGTCAAGGGGAGGCTGCCCATACTTTGCCTCACGTAACAAACTATCCCATTATGCATTCGTCTCCTTCATAATTTGTTCATCCTTCTCACTACGTACAGAAATTTCTTGGATGACCAGATGAATGGGGCCCTTAGCGAAATAATGTATTCACATCAATTGGTCGCCTCGCTCCAGAATTGCTCACCAATGCCCACTCTACAACACACTGCAAGCTGATTTCCCAGCTAATGGAAGTGGACAACGTCGCCCTTCTCGAGCCTCAACTCTCTTGGGTATCTCAATACAACGTCCAATGGACAATGATGCTAACTCAGCATCCTTTTCAGATACTTATATAAGACCCTGTCCCTAGCCCTTCTGATCTCACTCAGCGATCAAACAACATCCTCTACTACTACAAGACAATCAGACCTCATTCCACCTACAACCAACCAGAACAAATGTGAGCACCACCCATACCGTCTCCAACAAACACAAACACCCAACTAACAACACCCAAAGCAACCCACACCCCACCCTTCCCAACCTAACCAAAATGGCAATCTGGCTCCAAGGCCCCGGCTCCGGCGCCATCGCCGACCCGGCCCTCAAAATCCGCCCGGACAGAGGCGGCGCCATCGTGCAGCCATCCAGATTCGATGCAAAGCAGGGCGCCGTACACTTCATACTCCCCGCCCCACCACGCGAGAACCCCAACATAACCTCCGTCGCCGTTGACTTTGAAACCGATAATGCATACGTCGACGCGGTGGCTATTCGCTTTGCCAACATGGAGGCATTCCGGGAACGGTTCCCCGGTCCCAAGACTTCGTCGTTTGCTGTTAAAGTGCCTCCGGGAGAGGCGGAGTATAATGGTCGGGGAGTTGTTGTTACTGTCTATGTGAAGTTTAGGGAGTTTAGGGCTGTCGTTGATTTTGATCGGGTGAGGATTGCGGTTGAGTAAGTGCGCTTGGACTGGGTTTGGGATTGAGTTTGGGATTTCAGTTCTTGATTTCGTTCTTGTGTATTATGTATGATTTGTTGGGTTATTGCTCCCTATCAGGATAGGGAGTGTTGTTTAGATTATTGCTTTGTTTTTGTATTTTGTGTTAACCTACCCGCTGTGGGAATTTGGACCTATGTCTGACTGAATGAATGTGCTGTGCATTTCATGTCCTTCAACGGGGGCCGTGAGTCAGAGACAATATTGATTAACGCAGCTACTATCTGAAGGCTTTCTTAAGAACAATATTTGCAATAGACATAGTGCGGAAGCATATCTTCTATCGATTACAACATGCTAATTCATAAAGATCTGAAGAAACCACCTCACCCAAAGAGCACGATACAAAAGAAAAGTCCCCTGAAACACCTTGTACTCCAAGCCCATCCATATCAATAAACTCATAACATCATACCTCATAAACCCTGCTTCTTGTCCTACCCCAACTACCGCAAAGCCATACTAGCAATAACCACCGAACTCATATGACTCCCCGTAGAAATATACCCTCCCCTCCCCATATTCATCCCTACCATACCCACCCCCAGCTGCCCCATATTCATCTTCTCCTCACCAGCCATCCTCGGCTCCAACGCCAAACTCCTCTCATACATGCCCTCGACATCACCACCGGCCGCCTGCACATTCCGGACAATGAACTCCTGTATCTCGGGCACAGGAAGCAAACTGTACCCGACAGCCTGACAGCTTTCGATCTCGCGCAGGATGTCAGCCACTTTGATCCGCTTGCTGAAGTTTATCATCACGTTTGGGGGCGGGGTGTGGCTTGGGATGCCGTCTTCAATGAAGGTGAGGTCGGTTAGGTAGGTTCCTATATTATGATTAGGTGTTAGTATGGTATGATTTAGTTGGAAAGGAGGCGGAGAGGGAGTTAGGATGCATACCGAGGAAGGGGATGCGTGGTGGGCCTGCTGCGCGGAGCTTTTCTCGGTACTTGATAAAGTTCTTGTCGCTGGACATGAGGTTCTGCATGTCTTCGAGCAGTTTGCGCGTCTTGGGGCTCACTTGCGTCCAGGTGCGGTGGAGACGGTAGATCGGGCTTGTGGCGAGGCCGGAGATTAGGGACATCATGGTTGCGAAGTTGTTGAGGGAGCGGCAGTTCTATTGATAGCACTGCGTTAGCATGTGGGTTGATAGTGTTAAAGTGAGGGGGCGCTTACGTCGGCAATGTTGACAAACTGCTTGATCAAAGAGACACGCTTCTTCATCTCATCCTGGGCCAGGATCATCTCCCCCACCCAGTTGGCGAGTTGGTTTGAATGTAGAATCGTGGCGTTGACGCCGGTGGTGCGTTCGATAGAACTGGTGCTGCTGGTTGTGCTGGTGCTGGTGCGGCGTGAGGGAGAAATAGATGGTGGTCTATCGGTATCTTTCTTCTGCCATGACTTGTTGAGGCACTCGGTAGGTTTGATCCGAGCGAAGAGACGTGATTCAATGATGGTGAGTTGGCGAGCGATCTCCATCGGGTCGAGGTCGAGGAACTTGAGCTTCTTCATGTTCCTCGGGGTGAGTGGTTTAGGCACTGTGCTGTTTGGGGGCGTCATGTAACGTTTGAGGATGTCTTGACCCTTCAAGCGGTGCTCGATAATGGTGATGAGTTGCGAGGTAGTGGGAACGTTGGCAAGAGGTTGGATGTGGGAGTGGATGTGTCGGAGGAAGTCCATCGTTGATTCGGTGGGTGGTTCCATCCAGTACCGCTCCAGCCAGGTCTTGAGTATGTTGATGACGCGGAAGCGGACGGTCTTCTGCTTCTGTTCGGTCCATCGTGAGAGGTCAGAGTCGCTGAGGCCTGGAGGAGGGGGCATGTTCAGTCGTTGGAGGAGAATCTCAAAGAGTTCTCTGCCGCAGACGAATGTCGGGTAAGTAATGAGGAAGGTCTCGTTAAACGAGACGTCTAGCCGGTCATGGCGTGTCAGTTGCTCGACCAGTCCACAGATGGTGCCGTATCTGATGGTTTGACGTTGGTCATCCTCGTAGACGACCTCATCCTCATAGTCGAGGCTCAAGAACGGGGCCGCATTCGTGTCGATCGGCATCGTCGACCATTTCCTGGCGTGCTGGGAGCTGGAAAACATTGTCGTGGGCGTATTGTTTCGTGCATAGTCGAGGTCGGATAGAGACGCTGCACTGGCCAGTCGACGTGCTTGGGGCAAGAGGGGGTTTATGTCCGGGGTGACACCGGCAGCCTGGTGCAAGTAGACGATAGTGGACAATAGTCCGCACGCGAGTAAGAGGGAAGCGAGTATAGCGCTGGAACCACGGGTCTGGAACCCCACCAGCCCACATAGAATGGACGTTGTGCGTCACTTCCCGGATGTCTTGAGCGAGGTAGGGCCAGGGGCGCACAAGTTCCGACATCGCCCAGCATTTATCAATCTTATCACCGACGCGGATCGGCCTCATCATCTCCACATTGAGTAAGGCAGGGCCATCGCACGGCTCCACCTGAGCCATTTTCTGCGTGTTAGCGCGTTCATAGTCTGCTCACCGTGCGTGTCTCGGGTGGGTTCGGCGGTCATGGTTGCCTATGATTGGGCTTGTGCGCTTGTCGTCGGCTGGTTCTCTTCTTCTGATGGCTGCTGCCAAGATGGAATGGCTTCTGGGACGCTTGTGATGGGCAGCAAAGTGATCCCACTCGGGTCTCGGAGGGCTTTTCCTTAACGAGAGGTATTCGGATTTTGATCTATCATCTTCTACCGTTACGTTATTGCGGAGCTATTCTACTCCGGTGAATCTTTGTGAAAAACTCAGCGAAGTAGCCTGACCATCATGGAAACAGTGACTATTATGGACGCAATGGCTGCTACAGAAGCATTGACTACTATAGAAGCAATGACTATTGTGGAAGTAATGACTACAATGCAAGTTATTACTATTATGGAAGCAATGATTATTATGGAAGCATGACTATCATGGTATCTTGTACCCTACTCTACAAAACCTCTATACACACATCCTCAGATCACCTGGCCCTTGTTCTGCTGTGGCTTGTTCAGCCTGAAGTTCTTCCAGATGGCCACACAAGGAATCCCCAGCGCCATTGCTACCACAGCTGCAATACACGCATACTTCATGTAGACGCCGTATGCCGCATTGATCGCATCACGAATAGCGGAACCAACGGGATACTCGAGCTGCGTGAGGTACCCGCCCACATAGATCTCCATCGCTTTGTCCTTGCTGCCCTCGGGTAATGCATCCCTCAATGCACCCGGGAAGGTGTTGGTGTAGATGGCAGCGGCAACTGCGTAGCCTACTGCACCGCCCAGACTCGAGAAGAGACCAATCAGGGAAAGCATCATGGGGACTCCCTCACGATCAGAGGCAGCCATGACAGCCATGTCTTCGCCAATGACCAGGGTGCCACCTCCAAAGGCAATGAATATCTGACACATCACAATATACCCGATGCCTCCACCGGCCGATCGAAAGTGGATCATCAACCCTGCCCCTAGTAGGACCAGAGGCAGTCCGAATCCCAAACAGGTATACTTGAACTGCCGAGTGACATAGACCGTTATGCCGAACACAGCTGACCAGAAGCACGAGCCAACGTTGTAAATTTGCCCGACGTAGCCGGCCATGCCGATGCTCAGCCCGTAAATAACCATGCAGAAGTTGTAGAAGTAAAGCTCCCATGTGTAGTAACTGAAGAAGAGACAGGCTGCAAGACCGCAAGCCCCTATTACCGTGGGCTGCTTGAAAACTCGCCACTTGATGAAGTGATTGCGCGCCCCAAATCGCTCCCAGAGACCAAACAGAATGAACAGCACGAACCCAACGATGATCATGGAGATAAAAGCGGCACTCTTATACTCGGCGCGTCCGTAGGATGCGAGACTGAATGGGAGTAGGAGGAGGAGGAAGGCAGCGGTCAAGAGGAATGCACCAATCACTGCAAGAGAGTCAGGGAATGTCAATTAAAGAAAAGGATTGTGCTTACCGTCGAATTCATGGAAGTAGTGAACTACTGATTCCCAGAAAGTCCGGCCACTTGGCTCCCGACCGTAGATATACATACTCTCCGCCTTTCGTTGGTAGAATTTGAATATCACAGCCAGAGGAATGAATACAAATGGCATCACAATAGCAAAGATACCGTATCCCCAGCGCCATGATGCTCTCTTAATAATTGACTCGGCAGCCAAGGGGCCGGTGAACGCAGTGCAGATAAAAGGAGTGCTGGCGAAGCCAAAGGCGAAAGCTCGGTTACGCATCCCGGCAGTATCGGCCATGAAGACATCGAGGATGAGATATACAGCGTCATATCCGACCCAGTACAGAACATAACCCGCTGCATAGGAGCTGGGGTTGTTGCATGCTGCGAGGATGACAAGTCCAAGGAGGTAAACACCGACAAAGACTAGGAATCCTTCCGTTCTCCCCCAGACGTTCAACAACTTCGCTGCAGGAAGTCGGACGACACCACTGATCACGCTAGCTGCAATGCCTGCCGTACTCACTTCAGGGGCAGCTTCAAAGTTGGCGTAGGCGTTCTGAATCACATTGCTGCTGACCGAGGACTGTAGAGCTAACATAAAGAAGGAAAGCCAGATGCTGTGGTCACAAACAGATCATGTCAGATATGAGATATCATTATGGGAGTGGGGGACTCACAGTGCATAAGTGAGATAGGCCATCTTCTTACTCCAAGCCAATGCTGCAGCCTCCGCCTGCTGCATACCACGAGGTGCATCGTGGGTCACCACGTTGGCTGACTTTTGAGCCTCGTCCGCTTGCCAGGCCTCAAGAGTGATCTCATCAGGATTCTCCTCTCCGTTGCTGGGAGAGGTAACTTCCACCTCATAGCTGAAGTCTTTGAAATCCGCACCAGCCACATTTTGTGCTAGCTGCACATCATTGCGGCCTCGAGTGATGAGGGTAGGACTCATGGCTGGTGACCACTTACTCAAAAGTGAGGTAAGGAATGTGAGTAGTTTGATAGTCCTCAGGGCGTAGTCCTCCGTGATCAGGTAATGTGCGACGAGGAGGCGGCCATGAGTGCGGTTTTCAACATTCCGAGGGAGCGGACAGGCTGCGAGCATCGGAGCATCGCATGCAGGAGTAGTGTATCCATTTTGCACGAGGCGCGCTTCCCGATGTAGATCTCTGGGTGAACCCAGGCATCATGCATGTTGACTG